TCGCTCAGGGATCACTCCTGGTGTTCAAGATTGAATGGGGGTCAGCTGCCTGCTAGGCAGTTACTTTAAATACCTTAACTGTACTATCCTCTGACCCCTATATTTTGGTGTGTGTGTGTGTGTGTGCGCGTGTGCATGTGCGTTCATGCATGTGTGTATTCACACAAACGTTTAGTGTCAGGATTTAAAATCAGTAGAATGCAAAGCAAGCACTCTATTGCTTAGCCACCTCATAGGTCTAGAGTCTGTGTTTAGAAGTTACCTATTGGAGAAGTTAGTTTTGTTTTGTTTTGTTTTTGTTTTTGTTTGGGGATCACACTCTGTGGTGTTTAGGATATACTTCTGGCTCTGTGCTCAAGGATCAGTCCTGGTAGAGCTTAGGAGACAACATGAGATCTGGAGATCGAACCCAGGTTGGCTGTGTGCAAGGTAAGCACCCTACCCCACTGTACTAAGTAGAGAAATTACTCTCTTAGTACAGTGGGTAGGGCCTGGCCCTGGAGGAATTATTTAAACATTTTTGCTGATAATTGTTATGCCACTGATCTTCCTCCTTTCCTCCTAATCATAGAGGAAGGAACACTAATTAGGGAAACTGGGTCATACATAACTGGGCCTGGAGGACTATTTGTGAACCCAGGCATGTATTTTGATTAAGTAAGTGGTCAATTCTCCAGTAATTAGTTTTATGTGTAATTATATATATTTTTGAAGAGCTGCACCCAGTGGTGCTGGAGACTACTCACTTTGGTGCTTAGGCTCCCATGTGGTGCTTGGGATCAACTCCCAAACTCCTGTTTTAGCATCTGATGGTGCTCAGAGATCACTCCTGATGGGGCTTAGGGGACCAATGTGGGGTGACGAATCTAACCCAGGCCAGCCATGTGCAAGGCCTTACCAGCTTTATTATTGTTATAGCCCCCTTCATTATTGCTGTGGACTCTTGTATGCAAAACATATAGTCCAGCACTTTGAGACCTCAATTTAATGTAGCACTGCACTGTAGCACTGTCCTCCCACTGTTCATTGATTTGCTTGAGCGGGTACCAGTAACGTCTCACAACAAATTATGAGACTTGTTGTTACTGTTTTTGACATATCAAATACGCCATGGGGAATTTAATGTACAATTTTAAAACTCTTCAGAAGACAGAAAACATAAATTCATGCACATGGGTTACATGGAGAAATCTTAATACATTGGAATTCTTTTAATACATTAGTAGAAGGTGAGTTAGAAAAATGGCTCGACCATATCCATACCTACCATCCTATAGACTTACCACTGGCCTAGCTTTCATCTCCCCGACTAAATCTCAGAAGAGATGCAAGTTAAGCTCCTAAAATGTATGGATACATCAGTCATCTGGCTGAAAACTCTGGGGTGCCTTAGGGAGGGGTGTGGGCCAAGTTCCCGCCTTGCCAAAGTTCTAACAACTGCACCCATACCCACATGTGGCACGATGCCAAAGGCCAAGTCCTCTGACGAATCTCTGCAGAGACACCAAAACAATGAAAATTCTAGGTCCACTGTTATTTTAGGCTGAGAACTCTGAGATCTTCTTGGAGTCAGGGCTGGCAGCCTCTTCCCATCCACCCACACTTCCAGAACCCCTGGGGGTCAGACCCACATCCCACATCTGCTGCCATATAAACTCATCATCCCAGTTCCGCAGATCCTGGAGTTTCTGGAGCGACACACCTCCAAATTTCACAATACTGACATCCCAGTAGGAACACACCAAATTAGATGGGAAAGTTACATAGAAGCCAACTAAGGTCAGTAAACAAAAACAGTAACACAGAAGGCTCAACTAACAAACATCTTAGTAAACCCTCACACAAGGACTTAAGGATCGCATGGTGAAATAGGACAATTTTCACAAATTTTCTTGTACTGTAGTATTTTTTGATCATTCTTTTAGCCATTTAGTTGTAACTGGCAATATAAAATAATTTTGCACTTGCTAAGGAAGCAGACTTGGGCGGGGGTGGTTGGGAAAATGGGACGTGGTGAAGAGAAGGTCACTCTGGTTGTGGGATAGGCACTGAAATATTGAATGCCCTTAACACCTGTATTACTAATGACTTTGTAAATCATGGTATTTAAATAAAGTGAAAAACAAAACAAATGCCAAAGGGTGAATTGAAATGCAAAAGTCAAATTAAAACACCATTTTAATATGCCCCCTCCCCCCAAAAAAGGCTTAAAAGTTGACTTTTTGTGGTATGTTCCCAATGTTACTTAGGGTGCCATGTGATGCCTTGTATTGAACCTGGGCCTCTCCTACATGTAAAGCAGGCATTCAGCTTGTTGAACTCTCTCCAGTGCTGTTTTTTATTATTTATTTATCTTGATTTTGGGCCATACCTGGCAGTGCTCAGGAGATACTCCTGGCTCTGTGCTCGGGAATTACTCCTGGTGGTGCTGGGGGATGAAATGGGAGCTGGGAATGGAATACAGGCCAATCATGTGCAACACAAGTGGCCTACCCAGCTCAGTTTTTGAAAAGGAGATCACAGGTGGGGAGGAGAGGGAGGTATATGTTCTGTCCTATGCACAACTTGGACAAGCTCTTGAGCACAGAAAAGGAAGTAGACCCAGCAACATGGGATCAGTACCATCCCCTCCCCCACCAAACAAACAGAAAAGATTACATAGACTAGTATGATATGTTTCAAATTGAGAAATGAATTACTTGCCCAGGGATCGCTCCTGACAGGGCTTGGGGGACCATACATATGAATCTAGGTCAGCCATGTGCAAGGTGATCACCCTACCCACTGTACTCCAATCCCCAGGAAAAATAAATTTAAAAAACGGGGTATTTAAGAATATTTGAAAAGTGAAAATAAAGCCATATGTACAGACTGTCACAGATGTGATGTGCAAAGAATAAATACTTGAAAGACACACTCAAATTTCAGAGCTGTTCTTTGGTAGTAATTTTTAATTCCTTTTAGCCACACCTGGCTTTTAATGCTTGCTCCTGTGGTAGGGATCAAACCAGTAGGGTCAGTTGCATGCAAGACAAGAGTCTTAAACCCTTCTGTGATACTGGCCCCCAGATTTTGTTGCTTGATATGTTTAAGCATGTAGCTTCTCTTTGGTTCTAATTGTCTTTAAATTATTCTGCTGCATTAAGAATATTTCATGGCAACATTTCCTTTTGAGTTTAGTGAGGTAAAACCTCTTCCTTATTGACGTTTACATTTGTTAATCTGTGTTGCTTGTTCATTTCCTTTACCTTTAAGAGCTGATACGTTACTTGGCTCTTAATGACTTGTAAGACTTGTAAGCGCTCTTTGATATTTTCTGTAAATCAAACATTAGCTCTAGTGACTGAGTCCAGACAATTAAATATTAACCTGTTGGTCATACAGTTGTTTTCTCCATTTCGCTGTTGGTTTTCGATATTTTTTGCCATATGAAGGCAAATTAAGAGTCTGTATGTGTGTCTGTGTTTGTGCTCGCAGATGGTCGATTTTTCCTTTATGTTTCCTGAATTAAGATCGGAAGGATGCAACTAGGTCCTGCCTTGGTTTCTTTAAAACCACGTCTGCAGGAGTGGTGCGGTTTGGTACCGCGTGGTAGAAAGAAAAGTGACGACCTCTATTCTTGTATTTAAGCGTAGTGCAGCTTGGTTGCAGCGCCGAACTCTCCAGCTGCCGCTGCCGAAATCTTAAGCGAATTACTTGAGCTAAATCTGTTTCCGGCACCAAGGCATCCAGGAGAGTTAATCCTCTTTTCTTTACATTCAGACACGCATCATTAGTTGCCAAATCGTCCATCCCCCCACACCCCCCATGAAGATAAAAAGAGTGGGAGGTGTAATTTTCGGTGCGTCTGCATCCATTCTTCCAGGGCTAGCTTTTAGCAACACAATCTATTCAACTACCAATTCCACAACGTACCTAAAAAGAACATAAAGTTTGTGTGTATGAAGTCTTTGTGACTGGAGTAGGTGAAGAGCCAAGTGCTTTGTATGTTACTGAAACTTTCCTCAAGTCCTCCGTGCCTCCCTCCCCTGGTCAGCACGTGCGGTGGGTAATTTCCTTCCTCAAGGAAGGCCAATTTTACAGTTCGGAGAATCATGACTGCCACAAACTTCACAAAACCAGAACCTAACACGTACGAACGGAATGGGGCCGAGTCCCGGTGGAGTAGCCTTCACTTGGCGTAGCTGTAACGCAGCCGTGATCACGAGCAGATGACGAGCGTCCGACTGGGAGACCCGCGCGTGGCGTCTTCCCCCGCCGCCCGCCTCCCGGGCCGTTTCCGTCCCGCACGCTGCGATTTGCATACGACGGACCGGCCCCCGGCTTCGGGGCGCCCCGAGCCCGGCGCCGTCCCGGCCGGCGCTCGCCCGCGCGTCGGCGCACAGAGCCCCCTTCCGCCCGGGCCCGCGCGCCCCGGCTCCGCCGACGAGTGGCGACGCTCCCTCCGCAGACGCGGCGGCTGGGGCCGCGCTTCCCTCTGCCCTCCGGGCCGGCCGCCTCACTCTCCCGGGCTCCCGGCCGACCCAGGCGAGTGGGAGGGACGCGAGGAGGGGCTCCTCTGGGAGCGGCGGGGAATTCCCCCTTCCACCGAACGTTCCCGATTGTTCACCGTCCGCACGTCAGCAGCAGGGGGTAATCCCCGACTCCAGCTGCTCCTGACGTCACCGCGCGCAGCCGCCGCCCCCCGCGCGCCCCCGTCGCCGGGGCCTCCTCGAAGCCCCGCCCCCAGCACGAGGCACGCCCTCTTCCCCGCCCCCGTCGCCCGTCGTCGGGGGCGGAGCCTCTCCGGGCCGAGGCGTGAGCGGTCGATCGGGCCAGAAGGTTCGCTGGTGGCGGCGCTCCTCCCGCTGCTCCGCCCAGCAGGTCCGTCGGCCCCGGCTTCTTCCACGCCCTTCCCCGCGTCCTCCTCCCCGCCCCGCCCTCCTCCCCGCCCTCCTTCCCAGCCCCTCCGGCCCCTTCCCCCGCCTCGCCACCTTCACGATCTCGCGAGACTTGGCCCAGAACATTGCGGATCGGGTCGGCGCCATTTTGGGACCGAGACTGGTTGTGGGGGAGGGAAAAGCGGCAAAAGGGGATTATTCAAAGTACCGAAAACCTCCTCCAGGGATCGAGCGCAGCGGCACCCCCAGACCAGGGGCACCTCTGGTGTGGCAGAAGGTAGCAGTGTCCTCGGTGCTCCGCGCCGGAGTCTGGGGGCGGTGGGGGGTGCCCGGCTCGGGCTCCGGGCTGGAGGGGTCGCAGCGGCGTTGGCGGCGCGAGGCGTGAGGCTGCCCGTGGACGAGGCTGCGGGGCGGGGGGCGGGGGGCCGGGCGAGGAGCGGGCGAAGGCGGCGCGGCGCCGGGAGGCCCCGCTCGGCGCGGACTCAGCCGTGGCGGCGCGGGGGTGGCGGTTGCGGGGAGGGGGTGGGCGGCGGAGCCCGGGCGGCGGGCGGGAGGGGGCGGCGAGGCCGGGAGCGGGTTCGACGCCCTCGGCGCGCCGCCTGCCTGCCTCCGGCCTCACGCCCGCCGCCCCTGCGTCCCGGACGCGCCTCCGCGGGCCGAGGAGCCGAGGCCGACCTGTGGCCTGCGGCTCGCGGCGACGGGCCCGGAGGACGGCGAGGAGCGGCGCCGCGTCGCACGCAGGTCGCCGGCGGGCGCGGGCGAGACGCGTTTGGGGCGTGTGAGCGGGGGGCGAGCGGCGCGGAACGCGGAGGGCGCCGGGGACTCGGTGTCCCCCCGCCCCTCAGCCCGGGGAGAAACGGCCTCCCCGATTCCGGGTCCCGGGCCCTCCCGCCTGCGGCTGCCCCGAAGCGGCGCTCTCCCCCGCGAGTGGCTCTGAGGGACGTTCTGGCCCCGCTTCCTCCGCCGCCAGGGACGCCCAGACCGGGCACCCGTGCCGGCTGAGACGCCCCCATTCGGAGAACTCGGTGCTGCCCCCCCCCCCCCCCCCACGTTCGAGCCGCCGCACCTGCCCGGCTCTTCCCGGGGACTTGAACCCCGAAACACGCACTCGCCAGGAGGAGGGGGAGCAGCCCCCTGTTTTGAACCTTGGCTCAAAGGTGAGGGTTTTCTTACGTAACCCCCATACGGTATCTGCAGTCGCTTCCCCACCCCCTCGAGTTCCGGAGCCTTCATCCTCCGCTCTTACTTGGGGTCCTTGCTGACTCTTCCCAGACGCCAGCCACGTCTGTTGAAGTGACTTTTTTTTTTCTCCGAGGGGTGATTCGTTAAGGGGATGAACTTTTACCTCAAAATCGAAACCCAGGTGTGTAATTTCAGTTTGTCTGATAACTTTTACAGGTGATTGAATTACTCAGTTATGAAGATCATCTTCTAGGTTTTGTGTAAAAGGCCCCGGATATTTCAAGTGGCCATTTTGGAATTACAATGTTTTTGGAGAATTTTGCCCCAGAAGTTTAAGATTGGCAAGAATCTTCTCGGAAGTGTGTTGGTAGTAGTGAACGATTCTACGAGCTGCTTAAAAAGAGACACGGGCATCTCTTCAGTGTTTTGGTTCAGACGGATTCTATAACTGGTTCAACTGTTGCAGCTGGTGGTATTTTTTGCCCCCCCGCCCCTCCCCCATCGGTGTTCTTCAGCCAGAACTGTAAGATATGTTTGATTTGTGTACCGAGTAGTTTTGGCAGTTTCAAATTACTGTTTGAATATTGCTGAAGTTCCATGGCAGTTTATTTTTACCTTTGTTAAAAAGTTTAGGAATTTTTGACCTCAGCCCTTTTCCTACAACAATGGGTAAGGTTTTCTAAATGAAGACACTGAAAGAATACAGTCTTTCTCATTTTGTCTTCCTTTTAAGTGGGATTTAAGATGCTGCCGTTTCCCAGCAGCATGGTAGTATTGAGATAGCTATGTGTCTCTTTACATGCTGATATTTAGGAATGCCCTTCAGATGTGAAAGTTTCTTTTTGTTTTTGCTTTTTGGCTCATAAATTGGATATTTCATCTGGAGTGGATAAGTACAACTGTGACAAGTACATGGAATAATAAAGAAGACTTAAAAAATCTTAAATCCAAGGAACTTGGCTAATTCTGGAGATAACCATATGAAAACTTTAAGACAGAAGTATGGGTAGCTGACTTGAAGTAGTAACTCTATGTCAAATAGTCATAGGTTAAGTATCTTCAAAGAACTTGGATATTATTTCAGAGGATACAAAATAAAAAAACAAACTGGAAAACATAAAGATTACAGAGAAAAACCCAACACCTTCCTGTGCAGTCCTGTTGGAATTTGTAAGTACTGTGTGGTGAGCAAATCAGATGTTCATTTGTTAAGCTGACCGAGTGTCTCATTTATCCTGTTGTTCTTGGAAACTTTTCAGTTTCTTGCAATACTGTTGCTTGACATCAATTTCCTGGACAGTCTGACAACAACTGTTAGTAGTTATTGAGCAAACTAATGGAGAACTATGAGCGATTTAAGAATATTTTGCACAGATAAGAACCTGGGTTGGGGGGGGGGATTTGGAACTACTCATTAGTTCTTGGGGAACACCCAGCTTGTTGCTTGAGACTTGCTCAGGACTGTGCTCTAATGTGGACCCTCTGCATACACAGCATGTGTTTTGAGCTATTTTTTTGGACCAAAACTGAAAATTGGGGAAATGAGTGGGTGGCTTCTGGGATCTGTCCAAGGGTCTTCATACATCCATGGGAACCAAAGCATACACTCTGCTGCGGAGTTACAATTCCTAGCCCAAAAGAATCCAAATTTTTAGTTTTTAGACTCTTAATGTAAAAACTAAATTTGTGTGGCAGTGTTCATTTTAATTTTTGTGTATTCATAGGTGGGTGGGACAGTAGAAACTCCCTCTCTATATCTCAGTTGACACCCACTTTAAGTGCTTTTAGACTTCTAAGTGCAGTTTAATGTTCCAGTTTAGAGTTACTTAAAACATTTTAATATTGGTGTTTTTAATCTTATATTTTACATAATTTTTTTCCCCTTTCCATTTTTTCTTTATGATGCTGGGGATGAGCCATGCGAAGTTTGTGCACTACTTAATAGTCATGTATCTGACCCTCACAAAGTAGCCCTTAATGTAAATTTTCCCTGTCCCCCTCCCTTATATTGGTGGAGGGTGCTGTGTGTCACACTTGACTGTGCTCAGGGACTGCTCTTAGTTCTGTGCTCAGGGAACCATATTTGGTCCAGGGTTAACTGTTCACTGCATGCACAGCAAGCATCTTAACCCCTGTGTCCTGTGTTTCCCTCATTTTTTACTTTTTGGTGGGGCTTGTGACACTACCATTGTTCTAACCCATAGCCTCAAAAGCAAGTGCTCTACCCCTGAGCTACTTCCTTGCCCAGGAATACCCATTGCTTTTTTTTTTTCTTTTTCCTTTTTGGGTCACACCCAGCGATGCTCAGGGGTTACTCCTGGCTTTGCACTCAGGAATTACTCCTGCTGGTGCTTGGGGGACCATACGGGATGCCGGGGATCGAACCCTGGTCAGCCATGTGCAAGGCAAATGCCCTATCTGCTGTACTATTGTTCCAGCCCCGGAATACCCATTCTTAACATTTTTAATTCATTAAAGAAATGAAGTTTATGAGGAATTTGCTGAAGTGCAAATATTTTAAATATTTTAAATTATTCCTTAAGGGGTCAGAGCAATAATACAGGTAGGATATTTATGTGAGGCTGATTTGGTACGAATTCCTGGCATCCCATATTGTCCAGTGTCCATCATACCCCCCGCCCCCCAGCAGCGCCAGAAGTAAGGTAAAGGTAAAGGCCCTCCCGTTGATCGCCGATTTTCTCGAGCGGGCCCAGTAACGTCTCCATTGGAGACTTTGTTGTTACTGTGTCTGGCATATCGAATACTCTCGGTAGCTTGCCGGGCTCTCCGAGAGGGGCGGAGGAATCGAACTCGGGTCGGCCATGTTGGCCGCTTGTAAGGCGAACGCCCTACCCGCTGTGCTATTGTGGGGCGGGGCGCCAGAAGTAACCTCTGGGTATCAGGAGTAACTTCTGAGCATAGCTGGATATGCACCCTCTCCCCAAACAAAACAAAAATTATTCCTTGATATTTTAGTTCCAGGGCTGGAGAGATAGCACAGCGGTAGGGCGTTTGCCTTGCACGCAGCCAACATGGCCGACCCGAGTTCGATTCCCCCGCCCCTCTCGGAGAGCCCGGCAAGCTACCGAGAGTATCTCGCCGCACGGTAGAGCCTGGCAAGCCACCCGTGATGTATTCGATATGCCAAACACAGTAACAACAAAATCTCCAATGGAGACGTTACTGGGCCCGCTCGAGCAAATCGATGAACAACAGGAGGGCCTTTACCTTTATTTTAGTTCCAAAAAGTTTATTTATGGGTTGGAGAGATAGTGTAGGTTTTTAAGCCAATTTGTCTTGAATGCTGCTTCAAGGATCATAACCCTGTTTCAGGTCTTCTGAGCACTGCCAGGTACCTCTCTGAGTGTGGTGGTGTGCCTCCACCTGGCCCCATCCCCCTCAGTGAAAAGACTAGTCATGACAAGGCTCTGAAGCTAAGAGGGGACTAAATGTTCTTTTTTAAGAACCTTTAAAATTGTTTGAGAAATGAGTACAGCTATGTGTTGGTTTTTGAAGTCTCCACCTGGTGGTTGAAAAAGAGCTATTTACACTTCGGTGCTGAGGTTGTGACCATGCTGTGCTGAGGATTGAACTTAGGCCCCCTGCATGCAGAGTATGTGCTCCAGCCTGTTGTGCTATGGTTCTGGCTTCTTGATCATACTTAATACTCATTCAGACAGGTAATTTGAAAAGCCATTATATTGAGGAATGCATCAGGTACCTCCTGTCCCAAATTCAGGGTGGATTAGAATGTTCTCACCTAATAGCCCAGGTGGAAACTTAAATCAGGACACACACAGCTTTGACAGAGGAAACACAACTTTTTTTTTTTAATGTTTTTTTATTTTTGGACAACACCCAGCAGTGCTCTGGACTGCTTCTGACTCTCAACTCAGGGATCTCTGCGGTAGGGGCTCGTGGGACCACTGAACTCGGGTCAACATCATGCAAGTCAAGTGCCCTACCTTCTTGACTATCGCTTTGGCCTCCAAACCTAGTCTGTTTTACCAATTACTGAAAACCGTCACCCCCACCCCCAAACCAAAATTGGTTTGTTTTTGGGCGACACCTGGAGGCATTCAGGGGCTACTCCCGGTCCTATTGCTATGGCGCCCCAAATAGAGAATTTAGATCAGAAAATGAATGCAATATATTCCTTTGTGAATATCTATTAACCTTGAATGCATTAAGTGAGCTAACAATTCAATAGGGTAGCAAAAAAAAAGTTCAAAATAAATGAGCATCTGACAAGTTATTAGGCCTTCTTGACAAAATTTTTCAGAAATTAGAGCCATATCTCAGGTAAATGAAAATCCTAATTTTGGTTCCACTAATCTATTTACAAATAAGAAGTGCTTAGTACAAATTTTAGGCTTTCCACTATTGAGAGGCTCATGTTTTCTCAAGCGCAGATTTCTTTCCCTCCCTTAATTTCCCAAATAGTTTCTTGTCTTGCAACCTGGTTTTGATCACCAGTGCCACAGATAGACTCTCAAGCACCGCCAGAAATTTATATTTCTGAGCACAAGCCATTTCTGACCCCAAAATCAAAATCACTTTTAGGGCCAGAGAGATGTTACTGGATTGCACATGCATGCAGAGGAAGTCCAAGTTAAATCGCTTATACTGTATAGTTCCTCTGAGCACAGTTTTGTTTAGTCTGGGGACATGTAATGATAGAGTACCTGTGATGCATGTGTGAGGTGTACTGGGGTGGATCCACGGGTCTCGCCCGTTAACCTACAAAAAATAATGCTTTAAAGGTTACTTCTATATCTCTAGGAACAACTCCAGTAGTGTAAAACAGCCTTTGAGCACCACAGCCTGTCCTAAAATTAAAAAAATAAAGGTTGAACTGTAAATGAATGACCTTAATTAAGAAGAGCCACATAACATTTCTTACAATTTTTTTTCTGTTTATTTAAAACTTACCCTATGGATGGTGATATTCCATGTATTAGAAGGATTATTTTAGAGTCTTAAAGAAGATAGTACAACAGTTGGGTTCAATCCTGGCATCCAGATGGTCCTCTGAACCCCTCCAGGAGTGATTTCTGATTGCAGAGCCAGAGCACTATAAGTTGTAGCCCCCAAACAACAACAGAAATCATCATTAAGCAAAACAAAACATTTATAGATACCTGTTTGATTTGCGTGGTAAGAGGCATAAGAAATGTCAGAATCGAGTGAAAAAATGTCACTGAAATGTAATTGTTTTTATCCAAGGGATCAGTGAGTAATCTGACAAATTGTCAGTGTGAATAGCCCTGTGCTATTTATTTGCTGTTGAGATCAAGATTTTTGATAGTTAACTAATCCTTGAATAATTTTAAGATTTTTGAACTTTGTTTATAGCACTCTATTTTCGTTTTGGGGGTTTGGGTGGGGGTGACTTCCTGGGATCAAACCCAGGTAGATTGAACCCCAGGTTAGCTGCATGCAAAGCTACTGCCTTACCCACTGTACTGTCACTCTGGACCCTGTTCATAGCAGTTTAAGGGTGGATTGGCTTAAAAAATTTTTTTCTCTTTCTTTGCTTTTTGGGTCACACCCGATGATACACAGGTGTTACTCCTGGCTTTGCACTCAGGAATCACTCCTGGCGGTGCTTAGGGGACCATACGGGATGCTGGGAATTGAACCCGGGTTGGCCTCCTGCAAGGCAAATGCCCTACCAGCTGTGCTATCGCTCCGGCCCCCTGACTTGAATATTTTAATAATCTCTATTCTTGGTATTAAGATACACAGTACCAGTAATGATTAGAGCAGTTACTAGGCTGTTTCTTTTTTCTCCCATAAGAATCTCTTCCTCTTTCTTGACTCCATTTTCTTTTTTTTAATTTCCCTGTACTTAAAATTGTAGGTTAAAAATCACTTAAAAATAACAGCAGGACTAGAATGATAGTATAGGAGTTAAGACTCTTCTTGCTTTTGCTTGTGGTTGACCCTGATTCAATCCCCAGCATTTCATATACCCCCTTTTCCCCCCAATGTTGCCAAGATGATCTAGGAGTAATTTCCCCAAGTGGTTGACCCTGATACAGTCCCCAGCATTTCATAGACCCGTTTCTCCCCCAATGTTGCCATGAGCTAGGAGTAATCCCCAAGCACAACCAGATGTGAACCAAAATCCAGTGATTTCCCCCCCGCCCCCTCCAACACACACATAG